TATGTTATGTGGCGGTGGCCGATTTTTCTCCAGAAGTTGCTTTTTGTCATTTAATGGGACGATTTTATTACAACATGAATGAATTGTACAGTGAGATGCAAAGGAGTTTGTAATTTGTATATACAATGGAAATATTTAAATTTATTTACTTGTTGTGTTGTATATAATATTGAAAATATTTAAATTTAATTAATTATTGTGGATTTTACAAAATAGCTATTTTAAATTTAAGTTTGTATTTAATTGAGATTTTTAAAAAATTTTGAAGAATTTTTAAGACTTTGAAAATTATGGTATAATTTAATTTAGAGTTCTCAAGACTTAGAAAAGTCTTGAGATATTCATTTGGTATTCATCCAGATGTATTTAATTATTTGAGATTAAGATTTGTTAAAACTTTCTAAGATTCGTTGGAATTTCTAAAGAAATAAACATATACTAAAACTCATTACAAATCTCACATCCAAACTTAAAATTTCACAAGATTCCTCTAATTTAAAAATTTTAAATCTCGAATAGCCTTTAAATGTCTCGAAAGTCCATACGAATACACGTGGATTTTACAAAAGCTACTTGCTAAAGAAGTATGAATATCTAGTTGTCACTTAAAATTGGTAAAATTTACTAAATGTAGTTAGGACTATATTGTCGAAAAATTTACTAAAATAAAAAATAACTTTAGTTACTAAAAAACAAAGTATCATAAATTAGTGAGAATAAATAGATAAAATATTGTGAGTGAATCAATTTTTTGATAATAAAAAAAATTATTTTTAAAATTCAAAGGTACTAAAGATAATAAGGAAAAAGGAAAAATGTAACGGCTACACAGTAAATGAGGTCTTGACAAATATTAACACATCAATACATTAATACAAATCAAATATGTTTTTATAATAAAATAATAAAAAAAATAAAATTGAAAATAACGGTTTTTGGCGGGAAAGTGCCACGTAGGTATAATTTAATAGGTTTTATTAAATGCTTATGAGCCAGTAATTATATATATATAGATACAGAAATGGGAAACTTCCAAATCTCGAGGGCATAAGCTAGAGAAAACTACACATGATACATGTAGCCTAAATCAACAACAATACCTAAGCTAAAGCAGTACAATCACACTGAACTTTAGCTAACAAATCACCAAAAAATCACTGCATCAAAAAACCTGCAATCCCTGCAACAAGGCATAAGAAAACCAGACATTACAGTCACCCTCCCCACTGAACTGCCCTAAGAAGCAGACCTAGCTCATGTTCTGTGAAGTCCCCTGGTCACCTTAGATCTCATCTGCACGTTTTCCTGCCATTCTGATAGGGCACCTTTTATAGTTCCCAGGTCAAGTCTCCAAACTCTCTCAAATAGCCACAAGTTTCTCGATTTCCAAAGTCACCAAATATGTAGGTTTTTTTATATATAAACATCCCAGGCTGGGATGGGGGGTTGAGGCTACACCCCCGACCTGTGAATATAATGGCCCAGAAGGGCTAAGAAAGTCAATGTCCTACATCCATGTCGGAAATATATAGAGCAACATCAAAAACAGAAAAATAAAATAAAAAATACAAGGATCA